CAGATGGGGAGGTAGATTATGGCTTTTTCGGCCCGAGAGTAAAGTTCAAGGTCAATTTAAGGTTGATTCAAGCCATCAGAGAGAGCTGCTGAAGTGCCAGACAGAGGACACCACAGGAAACATTTACATATGGATTTTCCATATGGTTCAAAACAGAAATGTGTTTAAAAGGAGCCGATTTTCAATTGATTGTGCAAACCATTTTGAACTGAAAAATCAGTTGTCTGAGCTCAAGTCCACAGAACAGAGCACTGACTGGTTTTATCGACTTTGGTTGGTTGGTTGGTTTTTAGCAGTAGAACTTTTATTTCAAAGGACCCCTAGAAGGTGCCCTTCATAGGAAGAGAAGATGCTTGGTCTGAAGAACAATTAAATGGGTAAAAAAACTAACGAAACAACAACAAAAGAAACCACATCATGATTGGTGAATATTTCTGAGTTGGAACTCAAAAAATCTAAGCTATTTCATCCCTGCTCAGAACCCCTCTGTGGCTCCCCACTGCCCTCAGGGCAAAGGATAAACCTCTTACCATGTCCTCTAGGGCCCAAAGCTGTCTCCAGCTCTCACCTGTTCCCTGAACTTCAGCTTTGGAAGTCCCATGGCCTTCAAAATGCTTCTCCCCAAGGATTCCCAAGCCCCTCACTCCTACCATGTCCCCAACTGTCCTTAAGATCTCTCCCAAATCTGTTCCTTTCCTTGGTCCCCACTTCAAGGATAGCTGTCTTATCCGTCCCACAGGTCTCGGTCTGTGTGCCACCTCCTCCAGAAAGCCCTCCAGGATTGTCCCAAAGCCCTGGGCTTCATCCTGGACCCTCCACAACTTGTCCACTTGACCTCCTAAGGGTCCCTCCCACACACCCCTTTTCTTTCTCCCTTCCATGGCCTTGACCTCCCTCTCCCACCTGGGTCCCCACTTCTGCCACCTCCTTTGGCTCCCAACCTCCACCCAACCCTTCTAGTCCCCCCTCCATCTGAGACAAACTTGTTCCTCTCCTGCTCAAAAACCTATGTCCCCCACCAGCCCCTGGTGTCCTCAGGACAAAGTCTCAGCTCCTCACTGTGGTTCCCAGACCTCTGAATGATCTCCCCTTAATAACACCTTTTCAGTTTACCATCTCAACGACCTTTAGATCCCAGCCATATTTAATAGCTTTCACTTCCTTGAACTGAAACCACACTTTTACCACCACACACTCTCACAGCTGCTGCTCCTGCCCACCACACCTTTCTCTTCTCTTCGTGTGGCTCGTTCCTATTGGCTCCTGTGCCGCCTCCCCCAGGAAGCCCTTCCTGACTCCTGGGCTGGTCCAGAATCCCCCCTTTGGGTTCCAACAGCGCTGCGCTTTTCCAGCCCAGGCCTGACCCTTCTGCCTACGCTTCCCCAATCCCAGCCCTCCGGACTGGCACTGCCTGGTGATGAGTCTGTTTGTCCCATTGGACTGTGAAACCCATGAGGGCACCAGCGTGGGGCCGTCTCCGTCACCGCTGTGTGCCCAGTACCACCCAGCACAGGGACAGCACATGGCAGGTGCTCAAGTCATTCATCTGCTCATTCAACTACTATTTGCCCAGTGACTACTTGCTGGTAAAGCCTGTGTAGACACCGGGAATACAGCACAAAACAGAAAAATCCTATTAAAGATGACACTCTCTGGGGGGAAGAAAATAGATAGATGAGGGAAACATATAATATGCGCCTTGGAGAAAAATAAAGCAGGCGAGGGGCAGAGCGGCCTCAAAATGGAAAATGGTTGATGTCTCAGCTCAAAAAAATAACACCACGCCACCGCACATCTGGGGGGCAAAGCATTGTTAGCCCTGTTTTTCAGATGAGGCAGTAGGGGTCAGGGACCTCTCTGCTCAGGCTATACGGTGTCAGTCTGTCGGTACAGAATTCGAACCCAGAACTCAGTTCTGTTCCGGGACACTATGATGTCGAACCAGCTCATGAACATAAAATAAGGCAGAATGTCTCTTCCTTGCCCTGCTCCCTCCCCAGAAGAGGGCAGAGCTCCTTGTTTACTGAGCCAAGCGCTGCTGGAAGCACTTTATGTATTTAATTATTCACACCGGTCCTTTTCTTAGCCCCGTGTAACAGATAAGGAAACTAAAGACCCAGAGAGATCAAGTCATGGGCACAAAAGGACACAGCCAGGAAATGGTGGAGCCAGGATTTGATCCCGAGCTGCCTTGAGGTCAAGGGTGTAGACAGCTGCCTCTCCTGTTGTTTATCATCTGCAGATCTGGGGCTGCCAGCCACTCCCACCCCGCCCCCCATAGCACCTGAACCCAGAGGTTCATTGGCATTGGCTTCTCAAAGACTCTCCCAACATCGCCTCCTCCTCTTTCTCCCAGTCTTTGAGAGGGACCTTGGAAGCTTTCTCCAAATAGAAAGGATATGTGAGTGCAGCTTTAAGAAGACAGCTCTGGCTCTCCTTCTGACCAGGCTGCTCTGGCCAATCCATCCTTGGAAGAAGTTCTGGAGCTGGGCTGCTGTTCCATATGACATCAGATTAAGTCTCTCTTCTCCAAATCCTCCCGTGGCTCCTGCCTCATTCAAGGTAAAGCCAAAGTCTTCTCCATGGCTCGTGAGTTCAGCCAATCTGCCCCCTCCCTCCTCTGACCTCGCTCCACCCCTCTCCTCCCTCATTGGCTTCCTTGCTATTCCTGAAATAGTCAATGCATGCCCCAACCTCAGGGCCCTTGCATTTGCCGTTCTCGATGCCTAGAATGCTCTTCCCCATAGAGCCACATCACTCTTTCCCTTCCTTCAAGTCTTTGTTCAAATGTACCACCATCTCAGAAAACCTTCCCTAACCACCTTATTTAAAACTGTAACCTTGGGGCGCCCGGGTGGCTCAGTGGGTTAAAGCTTCTGCCTTCAGCACAGGTCATGACCTCAGGGTCCTGGGATCGAGCCCCGCATCAGGCTCTATGCTCAGCAGGGAGTCTGCTTCCCTTCCTCTCTCTCTCTCTGCCTACTTGTGATCTCTGTCAAATAAATAAATACAATCTTAAAAAAAAAAAAACCTGTAACCTTTACCATGTATTCCCATCCCTCTTCTGACATATCATACAATCTACTTACCTGTTGCTTGTTGTCTCTTACCCCTGCTAGAACGTAAACTCCATGAAGCCAGGGATCTCTGTCTGTTTGGTTCATTGCTGTGTCCCCCAGGCCTAGCACAGTATTGGGCATGTAGAACATGCCTAGTAAATATTTATTGAATGAACAACTTGTGTTTTTATTCCCATATTGCAGATACAGCAACTGAGGCACAGGGAGGTGAAGCCACCTGTCGAGGCCATGCAACTCTTTTAAGTATGAAGTCTTAGAACCAAGGTTGGAGCCAGGGTTCCAGATCCCAGACACCCATTGCTAACCACTGTCTCATACAGCCTCTCTAAGGCAGGTGAGTAAAGTATTTAACTCTCTATCCAAGCAATCAGGGTTGCTGAGGTTTGACTGAGGTGTTCTGGGACCTGCCTCATCTCTCTGTACCCCTGATTCTAGAAGTCAAGGGGATCTGGGTCTAAGCTAGCTATTCCCCCCCACTGCCCACTACTCCTGGACTCTCATTTTGTAGGTGGAGGAACCACTCAATCCATCAAGGTGGAGAGATAGGGATGAAGTATTTACCCGAGCAAGGTTTGGGATGGCCGATGGCCCACCCCCTCAGGTGGGGTGACGTGGCAGAGATGAGGACATGGAGATTGTGACGTGGGGTGGCGTGGGGTGGTTGCCGTGGCAGAGGGTATCATGGTACGGGGAGCATACAGATGCCATGGAATTGAAGAGGGCAGCTGGTGGGGGGAGTGACAATGAAGATGTGATGAAGGTGACTGCCTCAGGATGAGAGTGACATGGTTAATAACATGATTAGCCCAAATCGCCACATCAAGCTGCACACATCACAAGAATAAACTGGCAGAATCCTCACAACCACCCTGGACATAGGTGTCCTTGTGCGCATTTTACAGCTGAGGAAGCTGAGATTGCAAAGGGGTGATCAGGTGGTCAAGGTTACCCAGAGGTTTCATGGTAGAGCTGGGAGTCTGGCACAGCCCAGGAAACCGGCTCTAGTAGCCCATATGGTGGTGAGGATATGAGAGGTGACACGGGAAAATGAGGAGACATGGAGGGGAAAAAAAACAACTGGAGGGCAGAGTAGCTCCTTATGGGGAAAACTAGGAGCGTAAGGAATGGACGGTGACTGCAGGGAGCAAAGGTGATACGAGAGAATGGAGACATAAACGGTGAAAATGACGTAAGGGAAGAGTGACTGCGATTTAAGGATTTGGTGACAGGAGGTGTGTGCGGGTGAACGGGGGTATGACGACGACTTACGAGAAGTGAGGACTCCATAAAGGAAAAATAGCAACAAAAGAGGGGCGCAGGCGACATAAGGCGATGGCGGCATAAAGGGGGAAAGGCTGCAACGTAAGGCGGCAACGGGGGCTTAGAACGAAAGCGAATTAAAGGGGTTGACAGCGACATAAGTAGGGTGATGGCGACAGAAGTGGGGTGATGACTATTCAGCCGGGATGCGAAAGAAGGGGAGGGATGGCTACATAAAGAGAAACTGGATGACATAAGGGGAGAAATGCATTACAGAAGGAAGGACAACAAGAAAAGGGTAGCAGAGGCGCCGTGCCCCCAGATCGCACAGTACCTGCACTCCAAGTCTCCTACTCCGGGACCCAGCCCCGCACGCACCTTCCAGGCTGGAGCCCCGCCTGGCCACCCCCCGCCCTCCGCCGCGCGCAGGCGCACTTCGGCTGGACTGCGGGACGGCGGGGGCTAAGCATGTGAGTTTCTCATTGGCCTCGCTCCTCGCTAGCGCAGGGCGGAGGGAAGCCGACCGTGGGAGGTCACGTGACGGCTGGAGTAGACGAGGGGCGTGGGCCCGCACTCTCGCTGGTGGCGGTCCGGCGGGCTAGAGCAGCCGAGGGCTGGGCGACCCGGCTTCCGGTGGCGAGGGCGGTACTTCCGGGGAGGGTTGCCGGGCTGCGGGAGGAGGGTCTGACAGTTGGCGCGGCGGGCTAGGAGGGCGGGCGGCGCGTGTGGGCGCGGGCTCCGAGGGTCAGGTGAGGCGCGGGCCACGGGGTGGTGTGACCGGGCAAGATGCGGAGGGGATGGATGGCGTCTTAGTTCTGAAATCAGTCTCGGCGTCGCTTTGCGGCCCGGAGCGACTTCTTTCTCTGAACCTCAGTTTCCTCCTCTGTAGAATGGGGGCCAGAATCTGACCGTAGCATCCTCCTTAGGGCTTGGAGTGGGAGGTCTGCTTGCGCATGTCGGAGACCCTAGTTCAGCGCCTAGCACACTGCGCACTTCGTTACTGTACTAGTACTGTTAATACTGTAGCGATGATAATGTTTGAGCTTGGCGTGGAAGATCTGGGTGTGGGAGTGTGCAATTGGAGGCCCGCCGATTTCCGCGCAAGTCCCAGCCCAGCTTTGTGGCAGTGGGCCTGTGCCTGAACCTCTCTGGAGCTCATTTTCCTAATCTATACAATGAGGGTTAATAGTCCTATATCATAGGGTCGTTGTGAGGATGCTGATGAAATGTGCGTGTAAATCCCTTAGCATGGGGTTTTGCACTGTATGCTCAATGTATTGGGACTATGTTAATAATGATAATGAGAGTTACTGGCGTAGTTGGGACTTCCAGGGAAGAACGGATAGGGGGAAGCTCAGAGACAGCAATAGGAAAAACTTGGAATCTGGAATTGGCCAAATGGACATCCTGCCACTTCCTATTTGACTAATTTTGCCCCATCTCATAGATTTAGATTTTTCTTCTTCTTTAAAAGCACTGATGCATTTTTCTCCAGTCAATTAATTTGAGAAGAAAATTTCATATTGGCATACTAAGGGAAAACTAACACTGCTGGGTGCAAAAGGAAGGAAAACGTAACCTGAAGTACAACAGAAGCAGAATTGTCTATTTAAATTGTAGACAGAAGCTGAAAGAGAATTGAAAAGGGACTATCGTGGTCCCACAGACCCTGTCAGGTTGTACTCTGTTCTTTGCTTACCCTTTGCATGTGGCTGACATTAGGTCAGTGACTGTCCTCCCCTTTCTCTAGCTCACCGGAGTTTGATTTATTTAGTGCATATGTACATAGCACTTATCATCTGCCCAGCATTGTTTTAAGGACTTGGTGTTTGTGAACTCACTTCATCCCTCTAACCATTTTAAGAACATATACTCCTATATTCCTGTTTTATAGTTGAGGGAAGTGAAATCCAGAAAGGTTAAGGTTAACCCCTGACCCCCAAGGGTGGGGTTTTGGAAGTGGCAAAGTCAGGACATAGATCCAAGCCTTTCAAGGGCTTAGCCAGGGAGTCTGATATATGGTAATTACGTGAGTTTTAGAAACTGTCATTTGCTATTATTATTAATGTTCCAATTTTTACTGTTCAGAAAGTGATGACTGGAGATGGTCTTTTAATGGAGGAAAGAGGCAATTGAGTCCAGCCGGGGGACTTCTGCCACTGTAGGGAGAGGATACCAGTTCTCAAAGGCTTCTGGTAAGCATTAACTGACACCTCGAAAGACTGACCACAGCGCCTGGCTTGTAGTAGTCTATCAGTCAGTGTTAGTCATAGGCATTGGACTGACTTGGGTTCAAGTTGTGGCCCTACAGTTCCTTGCTGTGTGACCTTGGACCTGCCACTCTCATTTTTAACATGGGGATCATTTTTAACTTTTTTTTTTTTTTTAGATTTTATTTATTTGACACAGAGAGAGATTGAGATCACAAGTAGGCAGAGAGGCAGGCAGAGAGAGAGAGGGAGGGAAGGAGGTTCCCCGCCGAGCAGAGAGCCTGATGCGGGGCTCGATCCCAGGACCCTGAGATCATCATCTGAATTGAAGGCAGAGGCTTAACCCACTGAGCCACCCAGGTGCCCCTTACTTTTTTTTTTTTTACCCCAGATGGTTGTGAGGAGACACTGAGCTGTGTATACTCAGTGCCTGGCACCATAGGCCTTCAACAGGAGTTACCGAATGGCCAGTGGAATCAGGGAGAACTTGTTTTCGAATCCCAGTGAAGTCACTTGGTGGATGTGGCATTTGACAAATGACTGCACCTCGATGAGTCGGTTTTTTTTTTCATCGATTAAAATGGGGCCAATAATAGTCCTCCCTCCTGAGGAGGTAGTGAGGTGTCAGCAGGAGGCCTGGCTCCGGTCCTGGTTCATGATCAGTGCTTGGTATGTGACATGTTGTTTTTCTGTGTGACACATTGAAGACTCGCCATGCCCTGCTCTTTCAGAGCTGCTGGTGGTGTTGTCTTTGTCCAGTGGCAAAATCCAGAAGGCAGAGTAGATCTTAGGAGTCCAGTACAGGGGCAGAGTGATGTCTGTGGTCTTGTTCATCAACAAGAGACGCAACAGCAGCTAGAGAAGGTCAGCATGAGCCCCACTTGGAGGCAGAGGGGAGAGTCCCACATCTGGGGACTTTGGGAAAGCTTCCCAAAACTGGTGACAGCCAAACAGAGTGAAGGAGAGCTTGCCAGGAGGACAGGATAAGAAAGCATTCCAGGCACAGGTGAGCTTCTGTGGAAAACCGGGAGGCAGGCAAAGCTCCTGGGTGTCGGCTAAGACGGGAGGCCTGGGAGGTGAGACTAGCCAACACTTCCACACTCTTAGGGGGCAAGGCCACTGCCTCAGGTGTTCTGAGCATGAAAGTTCATTGGGTGTTCCAGCCTTCCTTTGAGGGAAATAACATCTGTGCGGTCCTGACTTCCAGATGGGGACACCAGACCCGACTGGTGAAGTAGCTTGCAGAGACCACGTGGCTAGGAAGTGGTAGAGCCAGATATGAGCCCCGAGGTCTGGTTCCAGAGTCCTTACTGTCATACCATCTCTGTTGTACCATTAGAATGGAGGCAGGGAGGGGCAGATTGTGTATGAAGGTGAGCAGAAAGGGACTAATGCATCCTGTGGAGCAAGCCGAGGAGGGATGATGGAGAAGGATCAGAATTGGCCCCGGGGCGCGCCTGGGTGGCTCTGTTGGTTAAGTGTCTGCCTTCGGCTCAGGTCATGATCTCAGCGTCCTGGGTCTCCTTGCTCGGTGGGGAGTCTCCTTGTCCCTCTGGCTCCCCTCCCCCACTATCATGCTCTCTCTCGCTCTCTCTCTCTCTCTCTCAAATAAATAAAATCTAAAAAAAAAAAAGAATCAGGGGCCAGAGTGGGTAGAAGGGAGCAGAATGAAGGAATAGAGCAGAGGGCGTAGAGGAGAGGGCAGGACTAGAGAAGAACAGGAGGGCTGAGTGGGCCAAGTGGCCTTGGAGGCAGATCGAGGTTAATCATCAGGCAAGGAAGTTTTTCCCTTTAGTTTCCTTTCTTTTCTTCCTTCCTTACTTCTTTTTTTCTTTTCCTTCCTTCCTTCCTTCCTTCCTTCCTTCCTTCCTGATTTTATTTGACAGAGAGAGTGAGAGCACAAGCAGAGGGAGCACAGAGGGAGAGGGAGAAGCAGGCTCCCCACTGAGCAGGGAGCCCAACTCTGGACTTGATCCCAGGACCCTGGGAGCATGACCTGAGCCGGAGACAGACGCTTAACTGACTGAACCACCCAGACGCCCAGTAACGTTCAGGGGAAAGTCCCCGTTGGTGCTAATATGTCCTTAACAGCTTTCTGGCACCTGCTCGTCTTACCTAAGCAGGCATTGGTTTTCCATTTCTCCTACCAGGCTCCTCATGGTGTAGTGGCCCACCTCTCTGCCCTCAGCTCCTCTTGCTCTCCTCCCCCTGTCTCCCCACCTCCCGCTGTCCTCTCACTCACTGTACTGTAGTCACCTTGGCTCCGTGCTGTCCCGCATCTATGCCCAGTGGACTCCTGGCTCAGGACACTGGACTTGCTGTACCTTCTCCTGGAACACTCTTCCTCTGTGAAACCACAGGGCTCGCTCCTCCGCCTCCTTTGGGGTCTCCAAATGTCGCTTTAGAGCGGTCTCTCCTCTTCAGCCTGTTTGGAATTACAACCCCCTCCCTCCCTCTCCAGGCCCTCCCTGTGTTCTGGGTGACACCGAGGGCTTTCTGACTCACCAAATCATGATCCATTTTGCTTGTTTACTCTCTCATCCTTCGTCCTCTGTCCCCACCTAGATGCCACTCTCTGTATTTTTTTTTTAAGATTTTATTTATTTATTTGACAGAGATCACAAGTACGCAGAGGCAGGCAGAGAGAGGGGGAAGCAGGCTCCCCGCTGAGCAGGGAGCCCGATTTGGGGCTCGATCCCAGGACCCTGAGATCATGACCTGAGCGGAAGGCAGAGGCTTTAACCTGCTGAGCCACGCAGGCGCCCCTGTACTTTTGTTCACGGCAGTATCTTTAGCTCCTAGAATAGTGCCTTGCACCTTGTAGGTTGTCAGTAAATAATTTATGAATGGATGACTAATGGGTATTTATGGTTAAAGTGTTGAGTGAGGGTCGGCGTGGTGTGTCGTGGGGGAAGATGTCTTTTTTTTCCTCTCTCACTCTCTTATCCCAGCCAGAAACTTCTGAGGTGTGTGGGGATGGAGCTGTGGACATTCGCTGTCACTGGGGCTCGTCCCAGGCGGCAGCGGGAGCTGTGGTGGCAGCACTGTCCCAGGCTGACTTCCTGCCAGCTGTTCAGGCTATTCCTGGGCTGTGAGCCCCCAGGCACTCTCCTCTGGCCCGCAGGCAGGCAGGCAGGCAACGAGGGAAACACACAGCCTGCGGCGACTCATGGGCCCTCTCCCGCTGTTCTCTCTTCCAGGCTCTTGGGAGCAGCACCAGGGCCCGGGGAGACAATGGTCTCAGTGACTATGGGTGAGTCTGTGGCCTTCTCTCCGGGGGTCCCCCTCCCCACTGCCCTTTCTGAGGTATGACCTTGGGGAGGGGAGCCGAGGTGGGGGAGGGAGAGCCAGGTCACTGGCAGGAACAGCTGTTCTCGGAGTACTGTGGAGGTGGGGCCCTGGCCTGCCCAGGGCCTAGCCACTCTGTATCTTGGCCTCCCAACGGCACAGTCTAGCCTTAAAGAACTTGTGATGTGAAATCCAGCAGAGGCTCAGTTTTCTCACGTGTAAAACGGAGATACTCACAGGCCTTAGGTCCTGGGATGTTGTAAGGATTAAGGAGGTTAGTGCATGTCAGACCTTGGGCACGCTTCTGACAAATGTCAGCCATTAGGATTCTCGTAAGCCTCATCACTATCTTCTCTTTCAGCTCTGCACTCTGGGGTTGCCAAAGCTCTGAGGTTAGTGGGTAGCTTGTACCACTTTTGAGATTTGTACATATAGAGAAGTACATAAGACATCTTTATGTGGTCATGGGAGCGATGAGAGAACGTAAACGTCAGACTGCATCTTTATGATTCCATTTCTATGAAGCACAGGGACAGGCAGGACCAGTCCATGCTGTGAGAAAGTGGCGGTGGCCCTCGAAAAACAGAGTGATGTCACTACATAGGGAATGTGGTGGTGGTGGGGGGGGTGCCTGTGGGATGTTGGAAATGTTTTATTTCTTGATCTGGGGGCTGGTTCCGTGCATGTGTTGGTTTTTGAACGTTACCGACTTACGTGTGCTTTGTGTGTATGTAAGTTATAGTTCAATACAAAGGTTTAAAAAAAAAAAAAAAAGCAAACCCCCCCCCCAACCCCGCAACCATTTAGGTCAAGAAATAAAGTATTGCCAGCCTCCCTGAGGGCCCACCCCGGTCACGAGCCTCTACCTCCTCCAGGGGGAATGAACCATGATTTTGGGATCATTTTTCCTTGCCTTTTCTTTTTTTTTTTAAAAGATTTTATTTATTTATTTGATAGAAGACACAGCGAGAGAGGGAACACAAGCAAGGGGAATGGGAGAGGGAGAAGCAGGCTTCCCGCTGAGCAGGGAGCCTGATGCGAAGCCAGATCCCAGGACCCTGAGATCATGACCTGAACCGAAGGCAGACGCTTAACGACTGAGCCACCCAGGCACCCCTCTCCTTGCCTTTTGTACTTGTACACAAGTAGGCAGAAAATATTCCTATGCCTGAGGGTTTGGTTGTGAGTTTAGGTGAACTAAATGTCCTGTGTTCTCTTGCTCCATGCAAGGGCCAGGAATCCTCTCCATGTCTTTCCTTTGAGCCGCTGTGTAGTATTTCCTGCCCCTGCTTCTGTCCGTGGATCCCACGTTGCTTCTGGGTTGGGGCTGTTAACAGACGAGCTGCTGTGAATATTCCAGTGTGTGTCTCCTGCTGTGTCCTGAGTCCACGACACATTGTGTGTCCCCTCTGACTCTCTGGAATGGGGGCGCTCCTGACCATTTACTTGGCAGCGTATTTTTTTTTTCAAGATTTTATTTATTTGACAGAGAGAGAGAAATCACAAGTAGGCAGAGAGGCAGGCAGAGAGAGAGGGGGAAGCAGGCTCCCCGTGGAGCAGAGAGCCCGACACGGGGCTCGATCCCAGGACCCTGAGACCATGACCCAACCCGAAGGCCGAGGCTGAACCCACTGAGCCACCCGGGCGCCCCACTTGGCAGCGTATTTTCCTCTTTAGTAGGACATGAAATGACGACAAGGGCCCGATGTGGGGATGTTCTCAGTTCCTTGACTTTGCTTCAGGCAGCTAGCCCCCCCCCAAGTGATGTGGCCCCTTTTCCCTCCTTAGTAACAGCGTGATTGAGATGCAGTTCACATTTTATACAATAAAGTGTACAGTACAGTGGTTTTATACTGCGTTCGGAGTTCTACAGCTGTTAGCACAATCAGTTTCAAAACCTTTTCATCACTTCCCGCAAAGTACCCGTACCCATTAACTAATCGTCACTCTCTTTTGCCTGCCCCCCCATCTCCCCCGAGCAACCACTGATCTTTCTGTCTCTCTAGATCTCTATAGATGTTTACCTATTCTGGACATTTCATATAAGTGGAATCATTATGTGGTGTTTTTTAACAGATGAAGTTGCCTGCTTATGGCTGATGGAACCCAGGGCCCCATGCCTGGGCAGGTGGATAGTGCCTGTGTGAGGCAGAAAAAACCCCCCTGTCCCCTGGGCCTGTGGCAGAAGTCCTTAGGGCATGACCAGGAGACGGGCCTGTGGCTAGGTAGGCAGAAGTGTGGTCCCAGGTCTGCACCCGAGCCCTGAAGGCACCTTCAGAAGAAACCAGAGTCTCTTTACCCACTCTGTGCCTCAGTGGTCTTATAAGCAAAATGGGCATAGCACTAGCAAATTTCATATTTTGATTGTTGGGGTTTCGTGCTATATACAATGAGAAAGAAAAGTTTCGCCAGTGAAACCCTTGATTGTGAGGTGGCTCTTAGTTTCAGAGATGTTAAAATGTGAAAAGGAAGTTCTCAGAATCAGTGATCTTATCTAACAGCCATTGGCCAGACCTGGGTGAATTTGAAGGTCACACCCAAAAGGCTAAAACAGAGAAGTTTAGAAACAATAAAGCTCGGTGGGTGGGTGTGTCCCTGCTCTGGGCCTTGGGCTCGGTAGTGGTGGCAGATTAAAATAAATAGCAGCAGTGGCCACGAGTTGAGGTTGTTCCCTGGGCCAGGTGCCACTTCATGTCCTTTATGGGGACTCTACGCAGTGATCCAAGGATGTACGCCTTATCACTAGAATGTGAGCTCGGTGAGGGCGGGGCGTTGTCTTGTGCAGTGGAATCCACCTGCCAAGAATGGGACCTGCCAAGTCCTCGGTAAATCCTTCCTGAGTGTCATCCTAAAATTTCCGGACGAGGAAACGGAGACCCCAAGCGTTAACTTCCCGTAGGCCCTTAGCCAGGAGCTGGCAGAGCCGGAATTTGAACCCAGGCGCCAAAGCCTATGCTTGCTGCTTCTGTGGTGAGGAGCGGGCTTGCTGACGCTCGTAGGCCCGCTCTGTGTCCCTTCTTTCCCTTCACCTGTGGATCCTGTCACCCTCAGCAGCTGGGCCTGCCGATGGGGACCAGGCCGGAGAACCTAGAGCCCCAGCTCCCTGAACTTGGGCATTGGCCGTGTGTGAAGATGATCGTGGGGCCTCGCGGCCCAGGGCAGAGCTGTGACCAGAAGGGTCAAACAGAAGCACGTGGGCTTCATGGCCTCAGTCTCCTCCTTGGCAGAGGGAGGGAGGCCTAATGCTGCGAGCTGCTCGCAGGGTTGTGGGCAGGCTGAGTTCCACCATCTGAGGGAAACGCTTGGCCGGGGCCTGGCGTGCAGTGAGCATTTAATCTGTGGGAGCCACTGCTCTTGTGGTTTTGCGGCTGCTCTTCTCTGGAGGGAATAATGGGAATAACGAGCCCTGTCCATCCCCCAGCCACTTCCGAGTGGATCCAGTTCTTTAAGGAAGCCGGCATTCCTCCGGGGCCTGCTGTCAATTACGCGGTGATGTTTGTGGATAATAGGTAAGGGGGCCTAGGGGACAGAGCGCAACTTGGCGAGAGGAGGGGAGAGGATGGGAGGAGGCGGAGGGGGTGAGACGGGAGCTGGCTAGCCCATCTGTCCTGGCCTACTTGTGGCCTCACTGCTGACCTTCCCCCGCAGGATCCAGAAGAGCATGCTACTGGATCTCAACAAAGAGATCATGAATGAGCTGGGTGTGACTGTGGTGGGCGACATCATTGCCATCCTCAAGCACGCCAAGGTGGTGCACCGCCAGGTGGGTGTGCTGCCCAGCCCCTTGATCTCTGGGTTTACGGTGCGGTGGGGGGGCCTGTACCAGAGCCAGCAGGAGGCTTGGAAGCAAAAGCAGGCAGACCCGAGTTCCAAGGCTGGTTGTACCATTTGCTGTGTGACATTGGGCATGTTGCCTAACCTCTCTGAGCCTTTATTTTTCCACTGGTAGAATGCAGATAGGTAGACCTATCTCACAGGGTGGTTGTAAGCATTAAGTTAAAGAAAGCCCCAGTATAAAAAGCTCCCAGTGTAAATAGTGGGGCCTTGGTAGAGGCTCTCTTACCATTACTAGTTCTCATCTTCCTCATGATAATCAGCTTTAGCAGGGCTCTTCTCTGTCCCCAGGACAGGAGCTCCCCCTGGGGGACTCAGGCGGTCACCGGGCCAACAACATGGTTATTCCATTCTTGGCCCCTCCACTTACAGTGACCTTAGACAAGTGAAGATCACTCCTCCCCCCACAGTCTCTCTGAAACAGACTTTTCACACTGCAATGCTGTGTAGGGGAGCAGTGGCCACCTACCAGATAGCGTGTGGGGCACTGAGCACCGGACCTGGAATGAAGAGCTCATTGAATCTTCAGCTGACACTCACCAGGCCTTATCATAGCCTGCCATTCCCTGTCTCCATTCTTTATACATTTTATTTTATTATGATTTTTTAAAAGATTTTATTTATTTGACAGAGAGAGATCACAAGTAGGCAGAAAGGCAGGCAGAGAGAAAGGAGGAAGCAGGCTCCCTGATGAGCAGAGAGCCGGATGCGGGGCTCGATCCCAGGACCCCGAGGTCATGACCCGAGCTGAAGGCAGAGGCTTTAACCCACTGAGCCACTCAGGTGCCCCCCCATATCCTCTTTCTGCTCCGCGATACCACCTTGCTTTTATTTGTGTCTCCTAACCTCTCCTTTAGTCTCCGTGAATCTGTGACAGTTCCATAGTCTTCCCAGGTGACTGATGACCTTGACAGTTGTGAAGAGTCCTGGTCAGGTGTTTTGCAGAGCATCTCTCAGTTTGGGTCTGTCCTCTGCCTTCTCGTGGTGAGGAGTGAAATGTACCGAAATCTCTTCTCTAACAGCTCGGGCTCTCATCCTCCCAGTGTTGCTCAGGTTTCTTTTCCCCTACCTGTGCCCTCGTCCCTGTGGTAACCCAGACACCTGTTTGGCTCTTCTTTCTCCCCCCCTCCCCCCCACAGGACATGTGCAAAGCTGCCACTGAGTCCGTGCCCTGCAGCCCCAACCCCCTCCCTGGCGAGATCCGCCGAGGTGCCTCTAGCGGTGAGTCCCACCTACCTAGGGTTCCTTCCCTTTATCCCTACACTTTAGCTCTAAAGGGGACACACCCGGAGTCTGCAGGGGTGAAACAAGGCCAGCAGAGGTTCTCTCGGCCACCGATTTTCACTGGTGGCGGTTCTGTTCCGTAAAGTCACTGCGAACACGGAATGAGCGAGTGCCGGGTCGTTACTCCCAGAAGAAATACAAGGTTAGGTTCCTGCAAGCCTCTCCTTACAACACTTTTGTCAAACAATCAACACAGACCTTACTTTATGTATGTTTCTGTAAAGACGTTTCATTTGTCATATGTTGCTGATGAGTTCACATCGAGCTCGTGGCCAGCACCTCTGTAATGCGTGCCTGGGCAAAGCTAATCGAACACAAATATTTTCTCCGTAAGGAACATCACTTGGGAATACTAGAAAGCACTTTGCCACTCTATTTGGGGGCCATTTTATTTTATTTTTTTAAAGATTTTATTTATTCGACAGACGGAGATCACAGGAAGGCAGAGAGGCAGGCAGAGAGAAAGAGAAGGAGAAGCAGACTGCCCGCTGAGCAGAGAGCTCGATGTGGGGCTCGATCCCAGAACCCTGGCATCATGACCTGAGCTGAAGGCAGAGGCTTTAACCCACTGAGCCACCCAGGCTCCCTTGGGGGCCATTTTAAACAGCCATTTTAAACAGTTTTGGTTTTGGAGTTACAAATCAATCTTAGCGAAGAGGCGAATTTGCAAATAGGGAATCCGTGAATGGTGAGAACGGAAAGTATTTACACATTTGGTTTTTTTTCCAGCAGTGTGATACCTTTTTAAAGAAGAATAAACTTTAAAAATTTAATATGCATATTAGCCTTTGCTGCTTAACGAGCCCCAAACTGGTTTCAGACACAGACTTTTATTTCTCATGATTTTATGTCCTGGCCAGTCTCTTCTGCTCTGGGCCAGCTCAGTGGATCTCAGTGGTCACCTAGCAGGTTGGTGGAGGCTGGGTGATCTAGCATGGCCTCACTCACATGTCTGGTGGTTGGCTTGATGTCATCTGGGCCCACAGAGGTGACCGGGCCACACGTCCCTTGTATTCCTGCAGGCGTGCCTGGGCTCGTCCACATGGGGCCAATTGCAGGGTGCCCTAGAGCAGCAGGAGAGGGCGGGCCCCAGTGTGCAGAGCACCTCTTAAGGTTCTGCTTGTGTAACACTTGCTCTTGTCCCATTGGCCAAAGCCTGTCACGTGGCTAAGCCCGGTGTCGGTGTGGGCAGTGCCAACCAAGGGCACGGACAGAGGAAGGCTGAACAAATCGGGGTTCTTTGCTGCGACAGTCTGCCTGAACTTACATATGATCATGAAGGTACAGCTGAATCACTTTCCACAGACACAGCAGCCATGTAACCAGCAGCATCCAAATCCAGAAACAAAAACCTGACCAGCGTCACTCCCGCCTCTCCAGGGCACCCATTACCCTGATGCCTCACAGCAGAGATGGTCTGTTTTTGTTAGTCTTTTTTGCTAGTCTGTCAAGTGTACATAACTGAAGTCAGACAGTATGTATTTTTTTATAGCCTTCTGAATGCCTTCGTTTAAAACAAATTTAAAAAATTAAAACTAACAGAGGCACCTGTTGGTGTCTCAGTGGGTATAACCGCCTCTGCCTTTGGCTCAGGTCGTGATCTCAGGGTCCTGAGATCGAGCCCCACATCAGGCTCTCTGCTCAGCGGGGAGCCTGCTTCCCTCTCTCTCTCTCTCTATCTGCCTCTCTGCCTACTTGTGATCTCTCTCTGTCAAATAAATAAATAAAATCTTAAAAAAAAATTAAAACCAACAAAAATACTAGTGGAGAAAATAGGCAGTCGGGAGGAGTAGGAGAAGCAGACAGAGAGGGACAGGGAGTGTGGAAGAATGTCCCAGAACAGCATTCTTGGTACGCTCACTTGTATACACTTTAGAATATATGCTTTTGAATATATGTGTCTGTATCTGTGCATGTCTGACAGCGAACTACGGCTTAGAGTCATTAGGGCAAAGACAGAGTTGTTTTTCTTCCACCCAAATGGTGCTTACCTGTCATGAGGAAACATCATATCCCTTATCCCTTTCTAGCAAGACGTTTCCCTCTGGGTACATTGCACGAGGCAGGGCCTCTCTACTGTTTACTTTCTATCGCAGACCATCCCAGTCATCCTGGGAGGTTCTGCCCAGCTCACCAGAAAGCCACCCTATCTGGCTTCAGAGCTGCCCGAAGAAAAGTCTTGGAAAAATTGTGGAAGCGTATATACCCATCATTATCAGGGGAGTGAGCAGGGCTGGAAACCGACTGTTTTTCCCCGGTAGGGGGAAGGAGGAGGCCTGATCAGGAAGGGCCAATCCCCAGACTTCAGAAAGATCCAATTCTTTTTCTTTTTCTTCTTCTTTTTTTAAATTTAAATTTAATTAGCCAACGTACGGTACATCATTAGTTTCAGATGTAGGATTCAATAACTTACCGGTTTCACATAACACCCAGGGCTTGTCACAGCACTTGGGGCAGGCTCCAGTTCTTGACCTGGGTGGTGGGTATGTGGGAGTTGACTTTCTGTTAAGTGGTCTGTGTGGGTTTGATATTTTTTTTCCTGTATGCTGTAGTTATAATTTCAAAACCAAGCAAGCAACATATAATTGTGTAATGCATCGAGAGTCATAGTGGGGGACTTCATTAGGTTTTGAGAGGCAGCACACAGCAGAAAAAGGGAAGGCTTTGGGGGTGGGTAGGCTAGAATACCAAAACCTGAAAGCTGGTGGAGGTGGGAGTGGGGAGCACCGGGCCTATGGGGTGAGCCGGGCAGCATGAAGCTCTTCCCCAAGAGCTTTTGAGATCCGGGCCCTAAAACCAGGAACACTGCGCTGGAGGTAAGACCCTCGTCCTTCCCGTGCTGGGGCCAGCCCTCCTGTCTGCGTGCTGTAGCTCCCCCCTGCTCTGCAGAAGACCGGGGCTTCCAGAGACCTCATCCCCAGAGGGAGGTCATCACATGTCTTCCCACTGCCCGGCTGTAGCTGGACTCACCATGGCCCAGGGGCCTGGCGGAGGAACCCCTCCCGGAGTCTGGAGTCCCCGCTTCCTCACCTATAAAATGGGCTTGTAGTAGATCCTGTTGGAATTTTCCATGAGAGGGTTCATTTTTTCTAGTAGATGCTTATTGAGGACCTGTGATGCACCAGGAACTGTCACAGCCCCTGGGGATACAGAAATAAACAGGCCTTGTCTCCTGGTGGGGCCTGCATACTCAAGGGAGAGCCCCCCAGGAGACATCCGTGTCATTTAGTGGCAAGCAGTACTTAGGGTTATGAGGCAAAAGCAAGCCTAGCGCAGGGTCGGGCTGGTGGAGTGGTCCAGGAAGCTTTCTCTGGGGAGGTGCCCTCGGAGAGGAGACCTGAGTGAAGATCCAGAGTGAGCTGGTTGGTCCTCGGGGAACCGCATGCCCAGTCGAGGGAACAGCATGTGCTAGGAACAGGTGCACGCTTGCTGGGTGAGTAATATCCCCAGACCAGCTTAGCTGAAGTGGAGCCGGGAGAGGAGCTTGGGAGAGTGTGACAGGAACCAGTCTGGTCTAGGGCCTTAGGAAAGGCCCTCACGCAGTGAGGGGTGGGCCCGCTCCTGGTTAGACTGGCCAACCGCCATCATGGCCGTGCAGCCCCAGCATGACTTCAGCTGCCCCTTCCCCATTCAGTCCCAAGGTTTGCCTTCACCATTCTGGCCTCCATCCCCAGGCCCTTGGCATGACTGGACTCTATCCTTTCCTCCCTGTAGCTGCCTCTCGAATGATCGCCAACAGCCTGAACCGCGACTCCCCACCTGGCACTCCCCCCAGGCGGCCGGACACCAGCACCTCCAAGATCTCGGTCACTGTGTCCAACAAGATGGCAGCAAAGAGTGCCAAGGCTGCCGGTGAGGGGACATGGGCGGATGGTGGGAGGAGCTGGGGGTGAGGGTGGGTTGGCGGATGGTCTTCAGAGGTCATGTGCCCAAGGTCACAAGGTGCTTTGAAAACCACAGCGTGTCCAGAGAGTTCAGGCTTGGTCAAGCCCCTGCGCCTCTGTGGGCCTTGCTTTCCCAGTCTGTAGAATGGGGACAGTGGGAAGCTCTTGAGACCGTGTACCTACTGGTGCGGTGTGCTGCTGTTCTTAGTGGACAGTTCTGTCGCTTTCGATTTTTTGTTCATTTTGTATTGTGGAAAGAACACTTAACGTTGACATTACCATCTTCATAAAGGCTCAAGTGTTCAGTACAGCGCTGCAGATTACAGGGGGCTCAGTCTGTTTTCACAGATGCTTACCGAGGCCCACACTGGTGCCATGCCCTGTGCTTGGTGCAGGGGTCAGAGGTCCAGAAGGCACCGTTTCCTCTCAGCAACCAGGAGGATCCTCCTTCCAGACCTTTGACCTGATCCTCTCACCCTGGGCTAGAACTCTCCAGAGCTTTCCACTGTCCCAGTAATAAAGTCATCTACCTGCATGGCCTTATAGGCTCTGTATAATGTGACTCCTTCTCTGGCATGTCTTCCCCTGGCTCCCTCCCTCGGGACCCTTCCAGGCTCCTTCCCATTGTGGGCCCTTGCCCTGATGTTCCCTTCTCCCAGCACACTCTTCCACCAAAGACTTTCTGTGCTTGGCCTCTGTTCCTCTTTCAGGTCTCAGCTTGAAAGCTGGGAATAGGACACCAAGCCCTCCTCCTGTGTGCCCCACTGCTCTACCTTTGTTGGACCCACCCCCACAGCAAAGATCTTGGCACAAGTGGAAACCGAGGCCCAGAGAAGGAGCTTGGTTATTCTTATGCCTGGAGCCATCACACCCTGTGCCCCCTGCACTTCCTCCCCGTCTCTGGCCTTTTTGATTTGTGTGTCATGAGCAAGAAAGTTAAGATTAATTTTTTTTTTATATTTGTTTACTTATTTATTTATTTGACAGAGATCATAAGTAGGCAGAGAGGCAGGCAGAGAGAGAGAGGGGGAAGCAGGCTCCCTGCTGAGCAGAGAGCCCTATGTGGGGCTTGATCCCAGGACCCCGGGATCATGACCTGAGCTGAAGGCAGAAGCTTTAACTCACTGAGCCACCCAGGCACCCCCAAGATTAATTTCTAAAGTATTGAAAAGATGGTGAGCCTGGGAGTCACCAGCTCAAATGTGTTGGGGGATTCATTTGTTTTTTTTTAAATCTAAGTGAGTTATAATTTACTTACGTACGATGCACAAATTGTAAGTATACAGTTTGGTTAATTGATTAATTGATTAATTTTAAAGATTTTATTTATTTGACAGAGAGAGATACAGCGAGAGAGGGAACACAAGCAGGGGAGTGGGAGAGAGAGAAGCAGGCTTCCTGCCAAGCAGAGAGCCAGATGTGGGGCTTGATCCCAGGACCCTGGGATCATGATCTGAGCCGAAGGCAGACGTTTAATGACTGAGACACCCAGGCGCCCCCAGTTTGATTAATGTAAAAAAAAAATGATTACACCCATGAAAGCTCTACCTAGATGGAGCTCTTGAACCATTCCATCAGCCAGCAGTTTCCCCCTTCCCAGCTAGGCTGGGAGGTCAGCCTATTGGGGGCAGGGACAGAGCCACAGGGAGCCCTGAGAGGCCAGCCACCATGTGGGGATTCTGAGCGCCACTGGCAACCCTGTTGTGCCTAGACCCCTGAATCTCTTGGTGGTTCAAAGTCTGCAGTGGTTGGGAAGATAAGGTATTGCAGTCATTCGAATACATGGAGATAAAGGGCACATTTGTGCCCTTCGCGGGGTGTCCAGCCCCTAACCCAGGAGCACATTCTATCCCAGCAGATGCTCACCATCCCCCTTCTCCCCATCAGCTGTGGCCCAGCGGGAGGAGGAGAGCCTGGCTGTTCCCACCAAGCGGCGCCGGGTCACTGCTGAGATGGAGGGGAAGTACATCATCAACATGCCCAAAGGCACCACCCCCCGGACCCGCAAGATCCTGGAGCAGCAGCAGGCAGCGAAAGGTATCGACCTGGCAGGGGTGCCCTTTGGCGTCGAGACTGCATTTCCCTTCGTTGCGTGGTGCGGGGTTGGTCAGGCCCTGCGGGCACTGGCCGAGAGGCAGGCTCTAGTGAGATCCAGGGGGCAGGTGCCCGAAGCGTAGGAACCATCATGAGCCAGAGGAGCCTGGTTGAGGTTCCTTCCATAGCTGGGGTACAGAGGGGGTCTTCCCCACAGGGTTCCTTTTAGAGTAGTGTTTGTGTCTTCATGGAAAAACACTCATATGGTGCGGAAGAACATACAGTACCGCCGGACTCTGTCCCCTCAGTTCCATAGCCCAGGCCATCGTTACCCTACCCAGACCAGTGTGAGCTCGCCCGCGTGTGTTTGTACATAGACCCATATAGGTAGTTTGTTTTAAAGCACAAATAGCATCATTTTGTAGGTATTGTTGTAGAACTTTTTTTTTTTTTTTAAGGAATTTTTTGTTGTTGTTGGGAGAGACAGAGAGAGCATGAGTAGGGGTTGGGGGTGCGGAGAGCGGGAGAAGCAGGGAGCCTGATGGCGGGGTTAATCCCACGACCTTGGGATCATGACCTGAGCTGAAGGCAGATGCTTAACTGACTGACCCACTCAGGCTTTAACTCTTTTTAATGTTCATTTAGTAGTTGCAAAATATTTGTATATCGTGATTTAATAAACATTCTTTCAGTGGTCATTTGGGTTGGGATGTAGGGAGAGGGCTTATCACCAGTCAGTAGGCTCTCAGAGGCCCATGACCCCCAAAAGAGTGAAGGGAACAAGTAAGGATTAAGAACCCTTCCCACACATACACACGTTTCGAACTTGTACAGCCTCAAGGAGCCCAAGAGTCAATTTCAGAGGATTTCTCACTAGCCAGAGACGTGTGGGTCACTGTTAGCTAGGGCATAGACACAGAGCCTGTGTCCGCCTGTACCAGAGCTGCCCGGGCCTGGACTGGCCGTATCTGCCCTCCATTGTCTGCACCATGCGAGATGCTTGGCCAGGCCTGGGCTCCGTGCGCGGCTCAGCAGGTGCTGGCTGAGGGCTCACTTCCCTCCCAGGTCTCCAGAGGACATCCGTGTTTGACCGCCTCGGTGCCGAGACCAAGGCAGACACGACGACGGGGAATAAAGTGAGTTGGGAATGGGGAAACCACCTAAGGTTCTCTAATTATCTTCCTTGCGGGTGTCAATCCCACATCTAACCCCTCATCCTCCCTGCACCGTCTCACCCACCCAGACAGCCTCAGTTCCCTTCTTTGCACCTCGACTTCTCTCCTCATTTCCAGTGCCTGGGGTCTGGCCAACTCCTGCCTGCTGCCCTCGGGCCGCTCTCACTTCCGTGTCCCAGACTGGCCTTGGCAGTCCTCCAGGGGGACTCCCGTCCCAGGCCCTGTCACAGGGATGCCCCGGTGCCCCCGTTCCAGGCCGGCTTCAGTGAAGGCTCTGTCTGTCGTCCCTGATCTGCCATCCCCCCCCCATTTCCTGCCCTTCCCCCACAGCAGCAGTGTGTGCCCACGTCCACGACAGGCCTCCTGCCCCCCCATCAGATGCTTCTCAGCGCGGTCAGGATGAACGCCACCCTCCTTGCCTTGGCCTGCAGGCCCCCGGGACGGTGTGTGGTTAGGAACCCACAGCCTGAACCCTGCCCGGTGTGAATCCAGCTCTGCCACTCCCTGGCTGCATGGCCTTGGCCATGTCACTTAAGCTTCTTGTACCTCGGTTTCCTTATCTGTCTCATACCCACCTCATTGTGAGGATGAGCTGAGCTGCACTGCACGGGGCTGGGGAGTCTGATGCGTGGTTAGGCATGCTCTAGGTGTCCCCTTCCGTGAACTGCACCAGGGCTCCCGGCTGCGTTTCCTGCCTCTCCATCCCTTGCTCACCAGGGCTTACCTGACCTTTATCACCTCCTAGAATCTTAATCACGAGCATGATAGTAACAGTCAGGCTCTCGTGGCTAGAAGATGCAGCCATGTGAAGAGCTTACTTAGCACAGAGTGAGTGCTCCATACTTAGGATTCTTATTCCTGCCTTGGGGGCTTGGCCCTTGCTCTTTTCTTGGCCCACTCATCCCCACTCATCCTTGAGGGCCCGGCTTACACATCAGCACCTCGGACAAGGTGTCACTGAACTCCTGGAGGAGGCGAGGCTTCCCGGTCTCCTTGCCAGCACTCCCATCTCTTCCAGACAGTGCATCGCTGTCGTAATTAGGGAGTTGTTTGTGTCATTTCCGCGGCCAGGTCTGTCTCCCCCACTGGACTGTGAGCCCCCTGAGCACAGGGCCAGGGATAGTCAGGACTCGGGAGACACTTGTTGAGTGAATAACCAAATTTGTCTTTTGTCGTGTTCCCCTGTCGACCTTGGCAATGGTCTTCTCTCTGTGCGTGGCCTGCCCTTTGTCTTCCCATGTTTGTTAGACCTACGTGCTGGAACTTTCAGATCTCATCTCAGGTGTCCCTCATCCAGGGAGTCTCTCCTGAACTTCATCCAAGGTCAGGAGACTCCTTTGGGTTCTGCCAGCTCCCTGGATGTCCTGTCATGGCTCTCACCACTGGCTAGGGTGTCACCATGTCACCATGGGTGTTTCTCCCAGCGAGGCCAGGAACAGTGAGCAGCTCTGTGCATATGCATGTTGAATGACTAAATGACTCACTTGTCCCGTCTCTGACCCCTGCAGCCCACAGGAGTCTTTAGCCGCCTCGGGGCCACCCCAGAGATGGACGAGGATCTGGCTTGGGACAGCGACAATGACAGCAGCAGCTCTGTCCTGCAGTATGCTGGGGTCCTGAAGAAGCTGGGCCGGGGCCCGGTGAAGCCCAGTCCCCAGCCAGCACTGACTGTCAAAGCCAAGGCCACAAGCTCGGCCACGACAGCTGCCACGCCAACACTGCGGCGCTTGGCCCTTTCCTCACGCCCTGGGCTTGAGAGGAAGCCGGAGTCCCTGTCCAAAGTCAGCATCATCCAGAGACTGGGCAAGGCTGCCCTTGTGCCCGAGGCCCAGGACAGCCAGGTCACAAGCACCAAGAGTAAGTCCTTGGCCGAGGTCAAGGTCACCATTAAGAGGACTCTGGTGGGGCCCCGGGGGAGCAGCTCCAGTGAGGGCCTGGGCGCCCAGATGGACCATGCAGGCACAGTGAGCGTGTTCAAAAGACTGGGCCGCAGGACCTTCTAGCCTCTGGGCGGGGCGCAGGCCCCTCTCCACGCTCCTGGCTCCCGTGGAGGCTCCGGTGAGGCTGCGCCCGGCCCTCTGCTGGCTCCCTCTGCTGGCTCCCGGATGACACTGCTTGTCTCCCTCAGGCATTCGAGCCGGCCCAAGCTTTCTGGGAGTTCACCCCAGTGTTCTGAGACCGAGATGGTCGCTGTGGCCAGGCCTTGCTGCTCTAGGACTTTCCTTTCTCATGTCCTTTGCTCTCTACTCTCTGACTGTGGCCTTTGGCAGGACCCACTTTTCTACCACTGCCAGAGCCAAGCGCTCTTTTCCCGCCTCTGTTCCCCCCTCCTGCCCCCCCGCCCCCGCAGCATCTGCTGCGTCCACCCCAGCTCCCCAGACTTCCCATCCCCCAGAGTCCCCCCACCTTGCCCATGTCCCGACTTCCCCTCTGCCCCCTCTGCCCGCTCCTTTAGCTTCTCTGTCTCTCCCTCTCTTCACACTGTTCATTTCTCTTCTGTTTTCTGTCCCCGTGGCAAGGCCCGACTGTGCGCTGCGTCCTGCCTGACCCTCCTGCGCCTCCGGCCTCCCAGCGGCCCCCTCGTCGGCGGTGGCGTCGAGCCTGTAGAGACTGTTAGCCGCCCTCACGCCCAGGCTGGAGGGACCGCCCCTGACCCTGGGCTGCAGCGGGCTGCCTCGGTTTTCCTGTCCTGGGCATCTTTTTCTCTGACAGCCCATGGCGGGTGGTGGACAAGGGTCACCGGGAAGGGAGGCCAGCGCCGGGAGAAAAAGAAGAAAACGGCTGTTTTAATATATTTTTGTGACTTTCAAACTGTTTCCCTCCCCTCCTTCAGGGTGAGTCACAGGGTTGTTTTTCACACAAAGCACAACGTAGGTGTGGGTGGCAATGAAGGGTTGGGTTCTCTTTCTGGAGGCCAGGCTCCCTGGAGGTCAGGGCTCCACGTGGGCCATGTCTGTGGGGCAGGCTCCCAGCTGAGGGGAGTCATGGTCGTGGTCATCGTTCGGTTGGACGTCCTCTTCCCTTCACCCGACTCTAGTTCCGTCACTGTTCTCCCGCTCCGTGTAGTTCACCTGTTTCTGCCACTCTGCCTGTTGGTGGCTTTCCAAACTGCAGGCTCCCGTGTGAGGCAGTGGGTTCGTGTCATTTGGGTCATACACGCGTTCACTGCTGCACAGCCCCTGCCCTGTGCCAGACCCGCCTAGAGGAAAGCAGACGAGCCCCTGCCTGCGTGGCTGAGCTCTCCAGTCAGGGAGGTGGCGGGAGAGGGGTCATCCTGTCCAGAGAATGGGACGGAGGAGCAGAAGTGGCCAGGAGGACTGCTGATGTTGGGGGAAGAAGGTAAGGGCTGAGCAGGGAACCATCAGAAGCCGCTGTGTGAGGTGTAGGAGGAAGAGGGTCCAACAGGGGACACAGCCGGGGCAAAGGCTCTGAGGTCAGAGGAGCAAGGAACATGAAGGCCAGGGGAGATGGGAATGCTGGCCAGGGAGCGAAGGGTCTGCCACAGAGCACCTGTTGTTGGGACAAGTGGGCAGGGACCAGATGACCTGGGGCTTCATGACCTGCGGTGAGGAATTTGGACATCTTCCGTAGGCCCTGAGAAGTTTGGGAAGGTTTAAAGCTAGTAAGTGATGTCTGACTTGCCTTTTATGAAGATGGCTTTGGCCCCCATGAGGGGCTAAATTGTGGGGAGGGCAGGGGTGGGAGTAGGAGGGCAGCCATGCAGGAGCCAGGGCAAGAAAGGAAGGTAGCATGGGGTGAAGCGTGGGGAGGGGGAAGGAGGGTGGGCTTCAGAGGATCTGTGGGCAGTGGGGATGGATGAGAAGTTGGGGCACGGGGGTGGGGAGCAGGGATCACCTAGAGGGGGGTCCAGAGCATCTAGCTAGAGGTGCTGTTTGTGGAGACTAAGGGGTTGGGGAGGGAGGAGCTGGGGAGACAGGAGGGTGCTGGGCTGCTGGGACTCGGTGGGGGGCACCTGAGCTGGAGACCAGTAGCTTTGGAGAGCACTCAGGGGACTCTGTTCAAAGCCCAGGGCCTGGTGATACCAGTGGAGAGCAGCATAGAAACAGGAGAGTGACCAGGAGGGGACGGAGGGCCCTTTTCTCATTGAAAGAACAGAACTGATGGGATCAGCAAGGAGTGGGCTGTGGCTTGGGAGACCTAAGAGCTGGTGACGATGAGATGAGACGTCACCCGTTTTTTGTTTTTGGGTTTTTTTTAATTGTGGTAAAATATACATAAGATTGACTGTCGTAACCATCTGTAAGCGCCCCGTCCAGTGGCATGAAGCACATTCCCGTTGCTGTAAAACTGTCACCACCATCCATCCCCCAACTTCCTGGGTCGATTGTCTGCTTATTTGTGGCTTTTCAATCCCGTCACGTCAGGGGGCTGCTGTGTGCGGGGGTTGCCGAGCACGGGGCCCAGGGTGAGAAGGGCTGGGCGTCGGGGTGAGGGCTGGTGCTAGGGCCCAGGTGAGGCCCACGGGGCGCTGCTTAAGGTTCACCATAGGGAGGGCAGCGGACACAGGGACGATTCCAGAGGCTGCCCCTTTGGGGTGGCGGGGCCACAAGTCGGGGCTCGCAGGCCTCCACGCTGGGCTTGCTGCTCTTAAACTCTGGCTTTTGTTTCTTTCCCCTGTCGTTTCTTCTGGTTCCACTTCGTGGATCATTTTAGCAACTGCTGGGGTTGATAGGACGACTTCCGGTTATGGAACTTGAGAGCGCTGGGTAACTCCTTGCTGTGGGGTGATGTAGAAACAGGAATAGCTCACCTAACCCCGAAACGCTCACTGGCGTGAGCCAAGTCATATGTCACTGTTGCTCTTTATGGATGCCCAGAGGGGAGCGCCCTGCCCAAGGTGTCACCCCGCCGGGAGCCTCGTCCCTCAACCCCTGCCCTGTGCTGTCTCGAGACCTTTCGGAAAGATGAGGGTGGGGTCCTAGGAGAGTGGTTTTGGGTTTTCTAGAGTTATTTACGTGCTTGTGCTCCCCCCACCACATCAGCTTGCCGCAGGAAGCATTTGCAGCTTTGGGGTGCCCCGGCATTGAGAGTCACACCGTGTCCTGCCACCATCTGCTGGCTGGACCAGTCCAGACACCTCCCGAGCCTCCCAGTTGCTCCAGGGCCACAGAGGCCCTGCCATTTGATTCGGCGACACCCCCACACCAACCGCCATGTCTGTGACGTCACTTTTCCTCTGGTTGTATCAAATATTTTTGAGCATACTACATTCACGTAGTTCAAACTGCAAGAGATACAAAAGTTCCTTCCCGAGTCTCCTGGCCCCCCCCAGACCTCTTCTCAGAGGCCACCAGTATCTCCAGTGTCTTGAGGAATCCTAGAGATGTGTTTATGGTGTGTGTGCTTTGTGTGTGTGCATGCACGCACACGTGTACACACACACACACACACACACACACACGCACCCCTACAGGCATACAGGCAGAGGAAGATAGAGTAACACACGTCTATTTACTTAACCATCTCTTTCCGGAAGGGAATTTGGGTGGCTTGCAGTGTCATGCTGTCACGAGCAGTGCTGCAGTGGACAGACAACCTTGTCACACGTGGGGTCCGTTCAGGAGTGAATATGAAGAATTCCAACCGTATCGCTTCAGTGCAGATACTGATGCTAGGCCGATAGCAGATCTGAAGCAGGCTCTCCCGAAATCACTGGCGTTCTTCAGATGAGTGATTCAGACACTTGTCGCCCCCTTCCAGAAAGGCCTTCAGAGCCATGGGACTCTTCCAGCTGGAGACCCCTGGAGGAAGCAGGTGGGGGAATGCTGAGAGCTAACACTGACCACACCTTTATGCCAGGAAGTACTAAATAAATGCTCCACAAAGTTGACAGACTCCCTGAGTCCTCAGGGAAAGGGCAGCAGCATGAAGGTCAGGGACTTCCTATTGTCATCCTGTGAACAGATGTGCACTGGAGGTACAGCGGGCCTGGGGCTCATGGTAAGTCACCGAGCCAGAGCTGAGCCAGCCCGGGGGGACGGTTCTGTTTGGGTGGTAGTCTTGGGATGAGGTCACCTCCTCTGGTAGCTCACCCCAGGAGATGCAAAAGCAAGATGGGAACTTTGGGTAACTGGCAGGCAGCCCCACTGCCCCCTTCCTCCTGTGTCATAGCCTGCGCCTCCCGGATGGGCCAGGCATTGGTCGGCGGCAGACTCGATCCCTCCTTTGCCTCCTTTCCCTCCTTCGGGGATCAGAGCTGATTAGTTTGGGGAGTACTGCCCCTGTACCTGCCTGTGAAGACCCAACGTTCCCCTACACTGAGCTTTACCCGCCCTGTGAACGCCGGGCCCTCTGCAGCCTTCACCAAACAGGCCAAACCTGACCCCGCTAGCAAGTGGCGGGACAGGGTTTGATGTCAGGACCAGGAGCCTCGCCTTTTTTACATTTGTGTTTTAAGACTTAATCATTTTTTAGAACAGACTTCATTTTGCAGGACCATTTTAGACCTACAGAAGAATGGGAGCTTAGGATGGAGCTCCCATACACCCCATGCCCAGTTTCCCCTCTTATGAGCGTCTTGGTAGTGGGATTCATTCGTTAACAATGAATGAACCAATATTGATACCATGAATGTTAAAGCCCATAGTTACTCAGATTTCCTTAACTTCTTCCCCAGTTTTAGCATCTTTTTTTTCTGTTCTAGGATCCCACGTAACATTTGTGTTGTCCCAACATTTGCGTAGACCCAAATGGAGCTGTCATGCCTCCTTAGGCCCCTCTTGCTTGTGGCTGTCTTTGATGACCTTGAGAGTTTTGAAGAATACTAGGCAGGTCTATTAGTGATTGTCCTTCCATTGGGATATGTCTGTCTCATTCTTAGATCAGGGTTACGTGTAATTCAGAGGAAGAGCTCAGAGGTAAAGTGGCATTTGACCACATGGTTTCTAGGGTCCATACTGTCCACTGGATGGATCGCTGTTGATCTAACCTTCATCACGTGGCTTGACTGCCTACTGCTTGCCGGATGTCTCCACTGTCAAGTTCCTCTCCCTTTCCGTACTGACCTCTCCGAACGGAAGTCAGTCCCTCCGTGCAGCCCGTACGTGAGGAGCCCGGGGTTTATGTTCCCCCTCCTTGAGGGCAAAGTACTGACGTAAATTAGAAATTCTTCTGCAAGGGAGATGTTTCTCTTTATTAACTTACTCAATCATTTTCTTTTCATCGGTATGGACTCGTGGGCATCTGTTTTACATTTTGGGTTATAGAATCCAGTCCTACTTGATTTATTTTGTTGTTCATGTTATTCTAGCTTTGGCATTTGGGGACTCTTGAAGTTGGCTCCTGGGTCCTT